ATCGGATTAGTATCCACAGCAGCGACTATAGCAAAGCCTTTAGTCCTATCGGATTAGTATCCACAGCAGCGACTATAGCAAAGCCTTTAGTCCTAAGTGTGCTGTATGCGTGTAGCTCACCACATCCTCTCCTCTCTATGAACTTGTTCATCACTCTTGTAACTTGTCTAGCCCCTCTTTTGTCTCTACCCCCCAGAAGGGGACACACACACACACACACACACACAGATAGAGAGATAGATAGATAGATATAGAGATAGAGATAGATAGATAGATAGAGAGAGAGAGAATGGAGTTTCCTTTTTTACTCACGTCCCTCTTTCCTGCCTTGCTCTCTCCTGCTGGGTAAGCCATGGCAAACCACTTAGGTAGTAGTGTAACAGTAACGGACTCACGTCCCTCTTTCCTGCCCTGCTCTCTCCTGCTGGGTAAGCCATGGCAAACCACTTAGGTAGTAGTGTAACAGTAACCACAACAGCAAGTATAGCAATGCCTTTAGTTCTGAGTCTTCTGACTAAAGCGGCACTCTTATCAGTGAAGTTCACAACATGCTCTGCTTGTTGTCTCCTTACTGAGAACTGCTGCTGCCACCAAAAGCCTGTCGTTTTGCTGTGTAGACCTCTTTCGTCTACTTACTAAGGCACTGCTGTTGGGGGCTGCTGCCCCCAAAAGCCTGAGGTGGATCCGCGGATCAACACAAGACTGCATTCCGAACAAGGTATGGTCACTATGAGTTTGTGGTAATGCCTTTCGGACTGACTAATGCCCCAGCGACCTTCCAAAGGTCCATGAATGAATTGTTTCGTCAATGGTTGGATCAATTCGTCATTGTCTATCTCGACGATATTCTAGTGTACAGTAAGACACTAGAAGAACGTGAAAAACACTTACGTCTCGTCCTAGGGAAGTTGCGTGAGGGCAACTTTACCCAAAGAAGTCTGAGTTCGCTAAGTCCGAAGTCCTATATCTGGGACATATAGTGAACGAGGATGGCCTAAGGCTGCCGTTTAGCTGTGTAGACTTTTTTGCCGCTTTGGATGAGATAAATCTGTACGGCAGAGATCAATCACCTGTGTATCGGCCATGGCAATGAAAATTTTATTCAAAAGTTTTCAAACTGACATCCACCAGACGTGAAATCGGAGACCTTCAGTATAGACCCCTTTTTCGCTATGCTTTCTTTGGGACATCCGTTAAAATTGGAACTATACGGAGAGGATTAGTATGGCGCTCTGGTCCAGAGCGCAAGGACGACACAAATAAATCGAGAAATGGTCCAAATTGAAAAGCAAGAAGAAAAGAGGAGAGAACAAATAAAAGAAGAGGGGAAACGAAACATTTTTTACCCTTTGCTTCCGATGGTACCCTTTGATTCCAATGGCAGAATGGTGTCTGGACCCTCTGCAGTTGCAGAAACAGTGTTTGAAAACCTCGGCAATGTGAACGTCTGCAGTCATGTTCAATAATCAGCCAGGGTTAGTCAGATAGCCCTTCATTCATCAGAAAGATTCTGACAGCCTTCTCTCTTAGACATATAAGGTTTGTCTGACTAACCGGCTATGGCTACCTTCTTCCCTCAAATACAATGTACGGTCATGGTAGCTGTATGTGAGGCATCTTTCAGTCCAGATGCAGCTATAATGACCGTACGTTGTAAATACTAAACAGCGGAAGAAGGTAGGCATGCGGCCTTTCTTAGTCAGACCTTAATGGTTAATCTTGAAAGCTATATACTAGTAGTTGCGGCCTATGGAGTCTATAAGCTATAGTTAGCCAGACATCCATTACTAAGAAAGGCCGCACACCTAACCATAGCTTTCGGAATGCCTGACTAGTACTAATGGATGTCTGGCTAACTATAGCTGATTAAGGCCAGACATCTGTTACTACCGTCTTCACCCGAATAGAACGCCCGGTCATTATAGCTGCATTTGGCCCAACCTTCAGTCCAGATACCGCGATAATGACTGGGCGTTCTCTTCACATTTTTCCCTGCTTGAGAAGATTGTTGCCCAGACCGCAGTCCCACTTTCAGAGTTGTGGTGGTGTGATAGCCATAGTTATTTATGGGTAGACTCCCAACAGTTACTGTACTAATTATGCAGCAGGGAAACTGGCAAAGTGCATGCAATGCATGTACTCATATACGATATGACATGGTGTGTTTAAAGCTGGACTAACTCGAAGTGACAATAAAAGCAGAAAAGTTGTAATTAGCACAAACCAAACAAATAGAGGTAATCTATGCATGGTCATTCCTGGGCCACGCGGGTCGGTCGCGTTATCTCATTGGAGTATAGCCGAGTGGAAAGGCATCGGTTTTTGATACCAACATGCAAAGGTTCGCACCATGGATTTTGTCAGAAATGTTTGATGCTTCTTGGGGATGTTGTGTTTATGCAGTACAATCGGGGGTTATGTAAAAGACGTGGATTGACGGTTGCGGGACTGCCTTTTTTAAATGTGTTGTTGTTACTTTCCAGCATTTGGTGAACATCAAGGGCTTATCTGAGGCGAAAGTGGAAAAGGTTGGTTGGAAATCAGTTTGAAAAAGATTCAACTGTGCATTGAACTGTTGGTAAAGAGAGATAATATCAGCCTTGGGCACTGGGCCCGTTTTTATTTTTTTAAATAATAATTTAAACCCCCTTTACCCCCTCCCTCTCTGTTCTTATTCGACCTTCTTCCTTCCTTCTTTGTCGTCTTCATCTCCCTCCTATTAACTAGTGTACTGGTAACCCCCCTTTACCCCCTCCCTCTCTGCTCTTATTCGACCTTCTTCCTTCTTCTTTGTCGTCTTCATCTCCCTCCTATTAACTATTGTACTGGGCTACCAGAGTGGCCCGGGACCACTTGCCCGGCCGGCCAAAAATAATAAAAAATTAAAAAAATCATTTAAAAATGTATTTTTTATTTTTTATTTTTTATTTTTCAAATTTGGTAAAGCATTTCGATGTGACCCTGAGGCAAAAGTTATTCAACTCAGTCGGTAAGGCATGCAAGTGGCATTCAGGAGGTCTTGGGTTCAATCCCCATTGGCCTGATGTACCTTCCTGGGCATGCTTGGTGCCCGCCACCTAGATCACTGGATCCCCTGACGGGCATTGAGCAGAGTCTGCTGATGTTGGTAGGGGGGGGGGGGCACCACCTGAGGGGAGGCACAGGGATTGGTCCTGTTGGCATGGTCCCTGATGCTACCGGCTGTCCCCTAGCCGATATCGCCCACCTGCAGGTCGGGAGTAGCCTCCGCATGTTCTCTCGTGAACACGGTTCTGGCTGCTACGGCGTTCCCCGTACGCCTACAATTAGTAGTAGTGGTAGGTAGTAGTGTGAGGTGAAATTGGGAGAAGAACATAGCTTCTGAAAAAAAAAAAAAAAAAAGTCTTTCAGACTTTCAGTTTATTTTTCTGCATAACTGTCGTAACATAGTTTTTTCAACTTTTTTTTTTTTTTTTTTTTTTTCTGGGACATTCCTTGGTCCTTGGGCCGCCCGGGAAAACAAGGTGACCCGGGCGGCCCATCTCGTAGCCTAGCTATTGTAAATGTAATGGCCGGGGACAAAACCACAGCAAAACAAAGCAACAATGGAAAAGAACAGCAAAATTGCAGAAGTTCATTCTGTTGAATTTCCAAGCTTAGATGTGTGGGAGTAAAATAAGTCTATTATTGACTGTATATACATCATAGTTGCAGCGCTCTGCTACGGTGTGCAGTGCAGCATGGGATGCTGTGCGCAATGCGGGAGACAGTGATGCACGTGCACGTGCACAGAAAAAAAAAAAAGAAAAAAAAAGGTCGTGCATGTGTGTGTGTGTGTGTGTGTGTGTGTGTGAGAGAGAGAGAGAGGTCGTGTGTGTGTGTGTGTGTGTGTGTGTGTGTGTGTGTGAGAGAGAGAGAGAGAGGTCGTGCATGCGTGTGTGTGTGTGTGTTCCCCTCCTTGGGGCAGGATCTTCCATGATCCCTTGCTTTTTCTTTTGGAGGGGGGCGGCACCCCTTTTTTTTTCTTTTTTCTTTTGGGCCAACATCGGGTGCAGTGCGCGAGGCGTGTCGAAGGAAACGTGAAGGAGATGTGGTCATGGAAACCACGTACCTATGTGGACTCCTGAAAATGGTATTGAATCAAGGCACTGCAATATATATCTTGATCATCTTCCCTTCAGCTTGATGACAAGTACGATATGATTGCATCATTTATTCGTGTTGATATCGGGATATTGTGTCCTATATGGCAATTAAGAAAAGAAGGATGGGAAGTCTAAGACTTATTCTGTACAACGGGCCTAGCTCAGGCGCTCAGGCGGTACATCAGAATGCGTGAATTCGTTCTATTTGGCATTTTACTATTCAGTGTGCTAAGTTCAAAACAAATTTGACTTTATAATGAAGAAATTCTAGTAGCTTTCGGAAACCTCCAAAAGAAGCCAAAACAAAACCTATCCAAATACAAAAAATGAAAGGCAACTTCATTATGGTAGTATACCAACCAGTTTCAAAACTTCCAGTTCCTATCAAAGCATAGAGATCTGTGAAAAAGTTGGTATGTATAGCCACTTTAGTAGTACTGGTTTCTGGTGCAGGTAGTCTGACTGCTTTACCTGTTATCGAAACACAAGCTGGAGATGTATCTGCTTATATTCCTACCAATGTAATCTCCATTACGGACGGACAAATCTTTTTGGGAACAGAACTGTTTTATCGTGGAACCCGACCAGATTCTTGACTCTAGTGCGAAGGCACCTGTATAAGATCAAGCGGCCTCTTATATGGTCGGTCGCTTTTTACAAAGACGAACACATTGCATTTTACAATGCCTTCGGCCCTCTTCTATCCAATGTGGTACTTCATGAGCTTGAGAAATTTGTCATGCGACTGAAGAGCATTGCCGATAGAGGGTCGTCGATAGAGAGGGCAACCGCCGCAGGTTGCGGACAAAAAGGATCACTGCGAAGATCCGGCGGCGATCGGAGAGCAGCCTTCAAGACGCGCCTTCGGCCCTCGCGTTCGTCGGCTCGCCAGAGTCATTTTAGAAGGATTCACTATGTTCGCTATGCGGATGAGTCCGACGACTCTTTGGTATAATGGATGGGACTAATTGGGTTGAAACTTGAAAGACAGACCTGTGTTTGAATCCAGATGGAACTAGATGAATGAATTTCCTGAAGAACTGAAGCAGTTGGGCATTAAAAAAAAAAAAAAAAAAAAAAAAAATGGTGAACGGCACATGCATGTATGGCTTGGTAGCGAGTTTGAAGTTTGAGCTCTGAAGCCTGATGGACTCTTATGGATAGAAATAATCTCAGAGGCTTCTATCTCAGCTGTATTCGGGGCAACTTTCAGTCTAGATACAGTGATAATGATTGCAGGTTTTATTTGGGTGAAGATGGTAGGTGGGCAGTTTTAGTTGACTAGATGGGTGAACAGGCAACCTCGTTACAGAGGAACTTTTCAGTTCCTTCACTTCCCACAAAACAGAAATGTGGAAGTGAGTCAAGCGAATGTTTTCCAATTTCTTAGGTAGGTTCTTTGGATAAAATACTAGGCTAGCAGAGTGGCACGGGAACTCTTGCCTGGCCAGGCAAAAAGAAAAGAGAAAAAGTTTTTTGTTGATTTTTTCTTTTTATATTGGTAAAGAATTTCGATGCGAGCCTCTGGTACAGTTTGTTAAGTTTATTTTTCTACATAAAATATTTTGGTCATGGTCATGCCAGTTTAGTCGTTTTTTTCTCATCATGCTTGTTTGTTACGACACGATCCCCTTTCTGTTGTGTCCGAGCTTCCTTTTGTCGCATATACTCAGGCTAGCATGTGTATTCATCAGAACATTGTGAGTTTGCACACGTGTGTGTGTGTGTGTGTGTGTGTGTGTGTGTGTGTGTGCACTCTTTTTTTTGTTATTAAACAAATTCCGCTTGCAACAACGATGGTAAGAGCATGCACTCCTGCTTATTGTTTTAAAAAAGAGTCCACGGAATTTGAAAAAAAAAAAGAAAAAAAGACTCCTACCAAAAAGTCTGCAGAATTTGTTAAAAAAAAAGAAAAGACTTCTACCTATTGTTTAAAAAAAGTGTCTGTTGTTGCAGGCAGAATTTGTTTCAAAAAGAGTCTGCGGAATTTATTTAACAGGGGCTCCAGTCGATTGGTGGGGAGACTCTTTTTGCTATTCATGTCACCTGACTTCTCTGTGCCTTGCGTTGTTTGCTGATTCTTGTTTGATTTTTTTTTTTTTTTTTTTTTTTTTTTTTGTGTGTGTTCACCCCCGCCCCCCCAGATATTGGAAGCTGTGGATAAAGTTGTGGTAAGTTTCCGATTTTGTCTGGATCAACAAGTCGAAGAAATGAAGTAAATACTAAAAAGTTAACCCCCCCCCAAAAAAAAAAGTAAAAATAAATAAAAAATAAAAAATGGTAAATGCAAACTGCAGAACATGCATGCATATAGGTCCTACTTCTAGCATGGAGAATGAGGTGCTCCCACGAAAGGAGTGGTTGTGCTTTCAGTTTCCCCCAGGCCAGGGAAGCAGTTATCAGCACAATCACCACCCACACGCAACAGGCTGGGAAAGAACTAAAGCAACAGCTGCAGGCCTCCAAGGACCACCTAGAGAAGCAAGAATGCCTAGCCCTCTTCCACGCCATTTGGCAGGACAAAAACAAATTGCTCTTCGAATTGGACTCCCAGTCCAATATTCAGTGGAAAAGATGGGTAGCAACTGAACCCACCTGGCAGCGTCTTC